ACAGATAGAGCTGCGGGGAAAAAAACTGTTGAAAAATCGAATACACGGAGTGTAAATGACAGATGGGATGTCGAAGCAGTGCATTTCCCAACATCCTTGCAGAACATTATGATTGTAGCCAATTCTATGAGAGGATTTGATCATATAAAATCTTACACAGAATTAGTGATACCTTTATAAAATACATACACAAATCCGTTGATCCCCGAGCTGCAGAGAGTGCTCAATGTCAGAGACAGAGCTTAGTACATAGCAGACTCAGCGGAGGACGTTCAGGTTGCTTGTAACTCTGAGTTTCATGCCGCTAGGCAATCATCAGACAACTGATATCAGACAACTGTTGTCTGATGATTGCCTAGCGGCATGAAACTCAGAGTTACAACCAACCTGAACGTCCTCCGCTGAGTCTGCTATGTAAAATACTTACACTGTAGAAACTGTAAGAAAGGGTTTGCTCCCCACACCGGAGCTCGTACTGTAGAAACTGATACGAATACACGTAGATGTACTGTAGGTGAGAAGCCCGGAGCAGTGCCATGGCTAGGCTGTCTAGACTACTGTAAAAGCCATATATATATATACACACAACAACAAGGTTGTCAGTTTCATAATACTAAAAGCTTTTCACCCATTTTCATCAGTAGTTACATGGGAATGAGCAAGAACGAAAACGAAGCCAGAATTTATACTGGGGGTAGAGAATCAGCAAGAATATTCTTACGCGCCTCAAGTTCACACTACACTACCATAAGAATGTATGGAGCAGTGGAAAAATGCGGGAAACAACACATGAGGGGAATGCAGTACCACAACAAACACGTGATAAAGTTGTCAGTCCGGTTGCAGCTTGAACAGCCGCAGCACCTTGATGTGCTTCTTTTGTCGACACAGCTCTGGCCTCAAACTGCGAATGTACAGCGCCTCCAGGATCAAGCAGCATATCCCAGGCAAGCTGTACAAGAAGCCGCCTGACAAACGTGTGGCAACAAGTGATAGCGCCATCACAAAGCATTTGCAGGCGCAACCTGAATGCATCCCGCAAGAACGCAACGGCAGCTTCAGTGTCATCACACCAGCCCGGAACAGCGCGCACAGATTCACACTGGAGGCGCTGTACATTCGCAGTTTGAGGCCAGAGCTGTGTCGACAAAAGAAGCACATCAAGGTGCTGCGGCTGTTCAAGCTGCAACCGGACTGACAACTTTATCACGTGTTTGTTCTGGTACTGCATTCCCCTCATGTGTTGTTTCCCGCATTTTTCCACTGCTCCATACATTCTTATGGTAGTGTAGTGTGAACTTGAGGCGCGTAAGAATATTCTTGCTGATTCTCTACCCCCAATATATATATATATATATATATATATATTAACTGGTTTGAGGGAAAGAGACAAACGGGAAAAGTCTGAAGAAAAAATTGACTGTCACCACCAGGACTCGAACCAGGGACCCTCGCTTGTATATACCCAATGCTGTAGACAGCAAGCTGTTTCGGCCATAAAGGCCTCATCAGTACAGCTACGAGCTAAATAGGCCGAGCTACCAGCCATGGTGCAAAGGAGGCACCACAGACATTAAGATAGCTCGTCGCTCTAGCGCCAGAGTGCTCAAACTACAAAAATAGCGGGCATTGCGCGATGCAGCAGCACTAGAGCAGCCTACCGAGAGTGCTCAACAAGGCAAAAGCCGAGGAGCGTGATATATGTATTTCGCTCCTGCTCTTGTAGCAGTTGAGCACTCTTGCGTGGGGTAGTGCCTTTGCTGTTTGCGTTATGCAGAGCTCACTGACTTGTCAGTTTGAGCACTCTGGCAAGGTACGTTCGGGCCTGATTGGAAATTTTTATTTCCATTGCTATCAGGTTCGGCCTCATTTCCTCTGTGCTGCGCTGATGAGTTCAAAAAGAACGAAACAGCATGCTGTCCGCAGATTGAGTATTTCGCTCCTGCTCTTGTAGCAGTTGAGCACTCTTGCGTGGGGTAGTGCCTTTGCTGTTTGCGTTATGCAGAGCTCACTGACTTGTCAGTTTGAGCACTCTGGCAAGGTACGTTCGGGCCTGATTGGAAATTTTTATTTCCATTGCTATCAGGTTCGGCCTCATTTCCTCTGTGCTGCGCTGATGAGTTCAAAAAGAACGAAACAGCATGCTGTCCGCAGATTGAGTATTTCGCTCCTGCTCTTGTAGCAGTTGAGCACTCTTGCGTGGGGTAGTGCCTTTGCTGTTTGCGTTATGCAGAGCTCACTGACTTGTCAGTTTGAGCACTCTGGCAAGGTACGTTCGGGCCTGATTGGAAATTTTTATTTCCATTGCTATCAGGTTCGGCCTCATTTCCTCTGTGCTGCGCTGATGAGTTCAAAAAGAACGAAACAGCATGCTGTCCGCAGATTGAGTATATATTATATATATATACTCAATCTGCGGACAGCATGCTGTTATATATGTATATAACGAAGTGCTAACTCTAACGAGTTAACGAGGAGAAATCTGTCGTTAAAATAGAAATCGTTATACACTGCGCCATGTTTTCTCCTGTATTCCACCTCGACCTAATCTAGACATCACCCTCAACCTGCCGCCGTCCCTAGGTTATGCCAATGATGTGGACTTCGTCAGCACCAGTTCTGAGTACCTGGACTCGATCCTTCCTATTGTTGGCGACTGCCTCGCGGACTGGGACCTGAAAGTTAACCAAGCCAAAACAGAACGCACTACTATCCAGAGGAAGAAGGACCGAGTGGAGGAAGAGTGGAGGCGCACACGCAAGCTTGGATCCCTTATTGGAGACAAAGAGGATGTCGCACGCCGAATCCAGATTGCTTCGGGCACATTCAACAAGATGTGGCCATTGTGGTCACGCGGACATCTGGTCTCCGAAAAGCTACGGGTGAGGCTCTACGAAGCCTTCATCAAGCCTCTGCTGATGTACAACGCAGGCACATGGGGCCTCTCAGACTCTCAGCTGTGTACTCTTGACTCGACATATCGGAGACACCTGAGAGTTGTTGTGGGTATCCGCTACCCACAGATAATCAGCAACGATGACCTCCACCGCAGAACAGAGACACAGCCCCTAACTGTCCTGGTTAAAGCTGCTCGGATGCGACTACTCCGTCACATCTGCAGACTGGACAAGGAGTCCCCAGCACAAATGGCCATGACATCATACTTCCGGCAAACAAAGGACGAGAAAACATTCCGTGGCCGGCCGCCTTCCACACTCCCAACAATACTGAGAACAGACCTCGCAACAAAGGGAATGAAGCTGCAGACGGATAAAGATCTCTCACACATCAGGGACCTGGCAGAGGACAGAGCAGTATGGCGGCAGCTTTTCCGCACCTGAGCCTGCAGAGGAATGCCCGGATTTGCCCAAACGGAACATGACATGATGTATGGTGAATTCAATTGACAATCTGATATATTTCTTCAAAATCCTTTGCCTCCTGTTTCTTTTTTCCTGCCTTTGACCCCGCTGCTCTGTGACCCTTCCCTCGCTTTCTCATTGTCCTTACTGTCTTTTGACTTGTTGAGCGGCCTGAGCGAATGCTAGGGGTGGATGTGTATTATGTCGATTTGTTGATTTTTGTAGTAACACACCCTGATGCAAACGCGGAGAGGCAAATAATAATAATAAAGGTAAAATACCATAGCAACTTTCCGGTGCACGTGGATTACCTGTCGTGTGAATACCCCATTAATAGTACGAACTCGTACCGAGAGAAAATGAGCTGAAATGGCTGTGAAAACAGTATACCGTAAAGTATCGTTGATCCGCCCCCTCTCTAATTCCCGCCCCCTGTCGATTTTCTCCTTGTGAAGCGACTTCGGCGTGTACAACGAAATACGATGTTGAACCGACGCATACACTGCCGTACACAATACTTGCCAATCCAGGATCAAAATGTGCACAATCCAGCACATTGAGACTGATCCTCTACGTTGTTGTACATCGTACTGCACTTGACAGCCTTGATCTAATTCCCGCCCCCTGCCGAAAACCCAGCTGGGAAGCGACATGGCGTGGGGGCGGATCAACGGTACTTTACGGTAGTAGTACTTGCACTTGTACTTGCAGTAGCGTAGGTAGCCGGGTCTACGCGTAGTACCGATATACGGATTCTTTAGGGTACCTCGTAGAAGACCTTGAGTGTGCATGTGGGGACTGCCCTATTAAAAAATATGAATAAATAAATAATACTCAATCCTGCGTACAGAACTGTTTCGTCCTTTGTGGACTCCTCAGCGCAGCACAGAGGAAATGAGGCCGAACCTGGTACTAGTAGCAATGAAAAATAAATTTTCCAAAGCCAGATTTCAACCAGGCCCGAACGTACCTTGCCATAGGCCATGTCAGAGTGCTCAAACTAACATGAATAAATAAATCAATAATAATTTGAAACTCGGATGTTGAGCCAATAATAAATGTAGAAAGGAAAAGGAAATATAGATACGAGTTGAGAGTAACGTCGAATGTCTCACGACTCTGTCAGTTTTGTGCCTAGTTGTTGCACTTTCTGACTGTATAGTATCAGGTTACAGTGATGGAGAGTTACTCTCAACTCGTATCTATATTTCCTTTTCCTTTCTTCATATTTAAAAAATTCATAATAGTAATACGGCAGTTTGCTTGCACATGCGTGACATGGTGCCGCACGTGGTGCGTAGATCTACTCAGCATCGTACTGTAGTACATAATCATTACTAATGATTATGTACGATGCTGTGTAGATATTAGTAGTCTCATTCGTAGTCTCCAACATGCTGTTTAGCACCTGGAGTCCTGGACCTCGACCTCCCGGCTCCCCTCGCGATCGCCCTTTTCTTGTTGTTGGGTCTTGCTCTCGTAGATCTGCGAGAAAGCATGCCTGCGCGCGCATGTGCTGCTTCATGCTTCGATCGGCACATTTGTATACTTGTACGCGAGTACGAACCACGCTGTCTCCGCAGGTCCGCGGTGGTGTCGACTTCGCTGCTCGGAGCTGAGATGAGCACTGTCGACATATTTGGCAGCGAGACTCTCATCATTCCCCAAACGGAACTGATCAGTTCAACGGGATTCTGGAGGTGAACACAAAACATGCACCGATGCCGATACTGGCCGAGTTAGTTTTGTCCGTGGAACTCATGAACTGCTGCACCAGTGTGGTGCCTTTTGAGACAGCAAAAAGCAGAGACTACTAGAAGTTTGTGCAATAGTTTGTCAAGATTGGCCGGAGCAGACGGAGAGGAAAGGTACCATAGAGGTGCTGTCGGGCGGAAAGGTGGCGCGTTGCTTCTGCCGGCGGACCGTGCGTGCCCTGCTGCTGGCGTGACGAGCTTGCCTTAGGTAAGGAACGTCCTTAGTGGAAGTTCGCGGTTCGACCGGGGATGGCTTTGTGGGTCTTCGTTTGTACGGTTTGTCCAATTTTGGCTGCATGGCATGCAGATGGTGACGGGCCAGGCCCGGAGCCAGCTCCTGAAATGTGATACGGCCTCTGGCCGGCCACAGGACCCTTCGTTACCCTACGCTCAATCAGTTCAGTATCATGGGAGGATGAACCTGTAGCTCTTTGCGACGTTGTATCTGGCTGTTTCAGCTGCATGCAGTCGAATCCTGATAATAAGGAACACCATGTTTGTGCAGGAGAATTAGTTCACTATTTTTATAATCAAGTGGAAAACCTTACACACACACCATCTTCAATCGAGAAGTATTGTAATTTGCAGCGAAGAGACCACTTGGATTGAAGATGGTGTGTGTGTGTGTGTGTGTGTGTGTGTGTGTGTGTGTGTGTGTGTGTGTGTGTGTGTGTGTAATGTTTTCCATTTTTGAAATGAAGTGGCTGCAGTGGAGCTTGCGCACATTAAGAAATATTTTATAATAAAGGTTTGATAACAGAAAAGCGTTCCAAACTGGGACATCGGCAACGGTTTGCTAGTACAGTCGACTCCACTTATAACGAACTCCCATACGGCGATTTTTGTTATATAGCGAACGGGTGTCCATGTCCCAGTTCGAACCCACAGTGTAAGTTCATTTCTGTTATAACAAACTTTGGCTATAAAGAACTAATTCTCCTGCACAATGGTGTTCGTTACAGCAGGAGTCAACTGTATCGTGAAATTCGCTATAATTTGTAATAATATTACAGTCCGTGCGCCAGATTCAAAAAAGTCGTCTAAAAGTTGACTTTTCATTTTCCGCACTGGGCAGTTTGCGGGTACTTTTTGAGTCGCATTCTCAATGGTGGACACTTTTGGAAAATGGTTTTGTGTCTATGGCTCGTTTGTTTTGGCATTTCGCTACCTGTGTGGTGAGCCTAAAAATTGCGCTTAGCCGTGGCAACGCAATGGTGTATTCCGTTTTTCAGCCAGATGACTTGTTTCGCTGTGGTCCGGCATCTTCCTAGATTCTCAGCCGTCGTCGAATTTGAGTATTTTCGAAACATTTTTTAGGGTGCAGGCGTGGGGCAAGGCTTTCACTCCCAGCCAATGGCACCATTTGACATAACTCAGCCCTATGAACACGTCACCAGGCCCCCGTTAGTGTCCAGCCCATATTTCCAAAAAATGGACTGGACTTGAAACTTGAGTGTACAGACAGTACTATGCATTATGCACGTAATGACCGTATGCAATAACTTTCGCAAGCTACACGACAAGGACTCTCTGCAGAACAACATAATGATATTCACACCATATGCCATTGTGGTGCACCGTGATACCAATGACAGTATATTTATCGGTGATCAATTGCCTACTGGGTCGCTCCGGTGCCGAGAACGTCAACTTTGCGGACTGTGGAATGACCCGCGACACCGACAACCACCCCTGACACAAAGCCAAATGCTGAAAGAGCTGACTGATACGGTACCTAGCAAGTTAACTGGATAATGTTCATCTTCAACAAAACCAGGACATAAAACAGTGCTATGATAAACTACCTCCAGTCACCGGAAACAAATACAGTGCATTACGCATACGGATAGAGATTGCACTAGTACATGTATAATTGTATACCAATCTTAGAGTAAGAAAACAAGTTATCGGGTCTATACCATCAGAGTTGGCAGCTATATGTATTGGATTCTCCTGGTGTGCAGAATGATGCTGGCGGCGTGGTTCATATCCACTGTTGGCTTGCTGTCGGCAGTACCTTCACTATCTCACGTCTAAGGCATTTTATAGTCTGCATGACTTGGATCACAACGCCATAGTTATCCACACGAGAATGGTAATAAATCCAGATCACTAAGGCCTTCTTCATTGCAGTTGGCGCAATACGTTCACGGGATCGCGTCTCCGACCTCCAAATTGTAATTCTAGCTGGCTAGTCTGTTGTTTATTGGCAGACAAGAATTGCGATGCTTCTTCAAAAGAGGCAGTTTAGCGATGTCTGTCCATGACATATTCCGCATTGCTGTGTGTGGAAGGAAAGGTGCAACAACATTAGATTGTTGCTGGCCATAGACATCAAACTGCAACATCTGGGCTTCAGCTGTCACAGGTCCATTGACAGAGAGACTGCCGCATATTGCACATACTGCAAACTATTGACTTCATGCCATCGCCTCATGGATCAGAAGTCACCACGCTGAAAGAAGAACAGCAGAGGAAAACAGAACTGATGCAGTTAATTGGCAGCAACAAATTTACTCCTTCATTTCATTCGACGAATTTGAGTCGTGCAATGCAAGAAAAAAGTCAGAGAGCAGGATCTAGGAGAGGGCATGCACCAGTGCTGTTGTGCCTACAATAATAAGATGCTCAGAATTTCACCACAATAATGCACATAATGCTGACATATTTACACTATGCAACCTAGTAGTCAACAAATTTAGAAAAAATGTAGTACTTCAGCTGGTGAAATATCCCACCTCTATCCCCTAAGCTCAAATGTCCCTGTAAAATTGATAAAGGATTGGTAGATGCTCACTCGGAGTGGTGTTTGAAAAGTAACACAACAGGCCATGATGATTTAGAGCATGCTCAATTGTCTCTTCTCATAAAATCACAATATTGCCTGTGCGTGGTTTATTTCGGGTGCAATTGTGGGGCACATCGGTATCACTCTAATTTCTCGTGCATTCGAAAGATAAAGCTTTGTTCTATCACCCCACAAAGCGGCTTTAGTGTCCGCGATGGGTAAATGCCTTACCTGGTGTGAAATTGGTGACCATATTCCTCGTTTCAGCAATTACAAAAGTGAGACATTCGTCCTTGGTGGCTGCTCACGAACTGCAAGCTCCAAAATAATTTTCCAGGGTACGGCCATAGGTGTCTACATCACTCCGAGCCATCTCTCCAGTGTAGGAAAGGTCTCCTGACGAGACTAGAAGGGCTCTAAGCAGCAAAGTTCATTGAAATATTCACCATTCGGAGATAGGCGAAATCAACAGAAAACAAGCCCGCAGGTGCGGCGCCTTGGAGGCTACGATTCCCGCGAGAAAATGAAAATCGGTCTCTCAAGGGCCTTGGCGCACGGACTGATTATGGAAATTGTGGGCACAAGTTTGAGTGCACTAACTAAACCAGATTTTGAACAGTCAGACGTGCACAATCTACAATTGTAGCTCGAAACTGACAAGGAGTACTGAGACATTCGAGCATGTATCCGTCAGCTTGACCACTGCTCGATAGCGCTAACCAACGGCCTTCCAACATTGGAAAGTGGAATGTCTCAGTACTCCTTGTCAGTTTTGTGCTAGATTGTGCACGTCTGACTGTTGCAAAATTTGGCTTAGTTGGTGGACTCGATCGCATAACGCGTGCCCACAATTTCCATATTGCAGTTTTTTTTCCTTGGCTCACCATCTGAGTTCGCTATGATTATGCAAGTTTGTTATAAGTGGAGTCGACTGCATTCCGCTAGCAACAGAGCATACAACACGGTAGGTGCCATTGGACAGGAAGAACAGTTTACGAGGGGTGTGTGGGAATATTTATTTATTCCCGTAGCTATGCAGAAGACGTTACTTCAGTAACGTCTGGCGCTAGCCAGGGTCCACGCAGCTTTAATTTGGTATTTGTTTGTGTGTTTGTGTCACGCCTGGCGCTATCCCGTATCTGTCCCGTACCGTACCGTACCATCAAACAAAGCTGACCACAAACAGCTGGCCACAATATTCAAATAGGGCTTTCAAATGCAAGATCATAACGTGAAGCAACTTGGAAGAATGAGTATGAATGCGAAGTGTATTGGGGAATGCATGTGTGCGGGTTCGAATCCCAGGTTATGCCTTGGAAAATAGGAGAATTGAAAAATTTATAACATCCTCATGCTTTTTTTGCCTAGTTCATCAAGGCGGTAGACGGTGTCGTATTACCCTCGCCCGTACCTGTCCCGTACCGTACCATCAAAGACGGCTGGCTACAATATTCAAATAGGGCTTTGAAATGCAAGATCATAACGTGAAGCAACTTAGAAGAATTAGTATGTATGCGAAGTGTATTGGGGGATGCTTGCAGGGCGATAGTGCGGGTTCGAATCCCAGGTTATGTCTGAAAAAAACATCCCTATGCTTTTTTTGGTTTAGGTCATCAAGGCAAAAAAGCATAGCGTAGTATAGGGCCCTGAGCTTCCAAGCTCTCTCATTTATTTTATTTGTTTTTTTTTTACATCGGAAGCTCAACAGTGCAGCTGCACAAATATGAAGAGGCTGATGGCACCAATTTTTTATATAAATATATGCACCATTGAGTATAAAAAATTTCCAATTAGGCCCGAACGTACCTTGCCAGAGTGCTCAAACTGACAAGTCAGTGAGCTCTGCATAGCGCAAACAGCAAAGGCACTACCCCACGCAAGAGTGCTCAACTGCTACAAGAGCAGGAGCGAAATACTCAATCTGCGGACAGAACTGTTTCGTCCTTTGTGGACTCGTCAGCGCAGCACAGAGGAAATGAGGCCGAACCTGATAGCAATGGAAATAAAAATTTCCAATCAGGCCCGAACGTACCTTGCCAGAGTGCTCAAACTGACAAGTCAGTGAGCTCTGCATAACGCAAACAGCATCGAATGTGAACTAGGCGTACGTGTGTGGGTCCAAAGTTTATCGTAATCGACGGAACAAATATCCTTGGAAATGCAAATGATACGATTGCACTGGGTTTGCACGTGGTGTCAGTGGCGTTTATTTAAAATATTTCCCCATACCTCCGAAGCTAGCCCGGTTGTTTTCAGCTTTGTGAATTTTCGACCTGGGTAGTTCAAAACAGTTTCACATCAGGAGTACGAATACACACTGCATACCTGCGCAGCCCCGTATACTCTTGTCCGCATCAACAGTACGCATGTTGTTCACTTCATGCGTGGCATACCCAAAACCAGGAGCTTGCGGAAAAGCGAGACACATACGGTATAAGTTGAGTGTAGTAGCGTGATTCATATGTTCACTGCGTTCACTTCTCTTCGAAGAGTGATTGATCAAGTCAGTGCTAGTAGATAAGTAAATTAGTTTGCTTCTTCATGATTATTATTGAATTTCCCTGTGTGCTGAAGAGGAGAGTTTAACCCTTGAGCCACTCTGGGCAGCGAGGGGTACTAACGGTTTACCAATGTAAGTTTCATTGTGTGTGTGTGTGTATGTGTGTGTGTGTGTGTGTGTGTGTGTGTGTGTCCCATATGGTGCAGTGGTGTGTGCAGCGATTTCCAATCGAGAGGTTACGGGTTCTATTATGGTCACACATTTTTCTTCTCTTTCTCAGACTTCTCCTGACTTTTCTTTCATTCTCCTGGGTGGCTACGAACGAGACAATATTGTCTTGCCACGCCAAATGCAACGTATGGGGCGAATCCCTGCCTTCACCCCAGACAAATGTGCCTTTATGAACCATCATCTTCCCTTTTGGCTGCCATTGGAAGCCATAAGATGTTGAATAAATATGTGGGTCCCTATAACAGGTCGGGTCGGCTCCCTATAGCAGGGCGGGTTTGACCAAAAAAGGAAGTAATGCAAGTGCACACATGACGTCTTGACTGGGTCCTCTGAGTGCAAGGGGTCCATGACCTTGTATAACGGAAATGGAAGAAGCAGGAAATCCTCATTGACTCCATGACCCCGGGACTCAATTTCGCACTCACACGAAAACAGGCAACGGAAGGAACTATTGATCTTGTGAAAGAGATGAGGGATGGGTTATACCAAGACTACTATTACTATTAATGTATTATACTGAAGCGAAGATGGATATGGAAGAATAGGGGGAGAGCATGATGGAGGCGGAGGGCAGTGGAATTGCAGTAGGGAAAACGAGCAGGGTAAAATCAAAGACAAAAGATCGAAATGCAGAAACGTTTTGGGCAGGCCTAGATGAGTGTATACTAGTTTGCAAGGCAAGAGCTCTGAACAAAGCATGGGGAGCAGCGAGGCTAATGAAACAGCTGGTAGAAGATGGAAACTATGGAAGTCTTAATGAACAACGTGTCAAGAAAATTATTGAGAGATTCTTCTACGAGGATGGCGCACTCTATTACAAGTCAAACGAGCTAAACGTTGCGCACAGGAAATGCATCTCAAGGGAGGAATTGATCAGCAAGATTGCAGAAGAACATAGTATTGATCATCGGGGACCCGAGACGATATACGAATCCTTACGGTGTTCGTATTATCCTATCATCCGAGAGACAGTCCTGCAACTGCTGCGCCAAACACTCGAATGTGAGCACTTTGCCCGACAGAATCCTTTGCCCAAGACAACGTTGGTACGAAGAACAATAAAGGCCACTTACCCGAACAGTCGCTGGCAAATGGACTTGAAAAAGCTCCCAGCGAGTCGAGGCTTCCAATACGTCTGTAATATTGTGGACTTTCACAGCCGATTCGCGATGGGTGGTGCCATCAGAGCCAAAACTGCGAAGGAAGTGTGCCGCGTGATCCTTTCTGCGATGTACTTGTACGGACCTCCAAGAATTCTCCAAACAGACAACGGGAAAGAATTCAACAATGGTGATTTGTCGGCACTCATGGACGAGATGTGGGCACAGAAGATCAACGGCCGACCGTATCACCCACAAAGTCAAGGCCGGGTAGAGCGCTTCAACCAGACACTGGCGCAATTCCTAAGACGTGACCTCCTGGAAGATAAAAATTGGCCTGATCGTCTGCCGCTGTTTTACTACAGCTACAACAACCGCGTCCACAGAAGCCTACACGGGAAAACTCCGTACGAGATGTATTTCCAGAGGCCAAACTTTTCCTTGTTTCGCGAGCAGGAGCGCTGTAATCTGACCACAGACGAGAAGGACTTTCTCCAGTGTCAGGGAAACCTGAACTTGGCCGATGAAGCAAATGACGATGATGAGGTCGACGATGAGGACGTTCCTTTAGGCCAGCAGGAGCCACAGCCGACAGCACCAGAGACAGGAGCAGCATACCCGCTCGAGCTCGCATGGACGCCAGAGGAATTTCCATCTGAGCATGCTGTAGGAGACGTTGTATACTACAAGAAAGCTGTAAACCTAGGCGGAGCAGCCGGCACAGCGGCACTGATGACGCAGTGGCATAGGGGGAGCGTAGCTGCTTTGCGTCGAGAGAATTTCTTCCGCTTGTACGACATTGTCGACACCGACGACTCGCCAGTCGGCTCCTTTGCTGGTAGTCATGTCAGGAACGCACCAACCCAGGCATCCATCGAGGCACGAGACCGAGAAGGACGGTCAACTTCCACGACTTCCAGAAACCAAACGAAGTAACTCCTTGTTTCGAAACAGTAGGTGTTTGATCTCCTTCCTAAATACACGCATGCGTGTTTACTCTGTACATGTGTAGATTCTGCACTGCACGTGCAGCGCAACGGCATTTTATTGCTTAGATTACGGGAATATTCTGATATGCATTGCGTAACCATAACCTTTAGTTGATCCTCTGATCTTCAGGTCTCCTTTATTTAGTTGACCTTCTACATCTGCTTTTTTGCTTATTTGAAGCACAGAGTGTACATGACGCTGTGTACTCTGAGCTAGCTATTATATTTTTGTGTCTATGAGGCATACGATATGCACCTCTTGCACTGCACTCTGAGCTGTCCATATATGCGACTCAAACCGACCCGCTATAGGGAGAACACCCAAACCGACCCGTTATAGGGACAGGCCTGCTGCTGGGTCCATCAAATATATAAGAAATAAATCTACGCATGAAAAACACGAAGATCGGAAAATGAGTAGGGGGGCGGCAATTTTTCACAGGGGGCGCGCAAACACAGTAGGGGAGCGCTGCGCCTTTGGCTAGAACCCTGGTTTAGAAAAGCGATCCTGTCAGCTTTTCTATTATTGTGTTCACATGGCAGAAAAAACGACATCGCTATGCTACGTAAGTTTCTACGTAAGGTGCTCGGTATTTCACTTAGGCTACGTAAGTCTCTACGTAAGGTGCTCGGTATTAGATCTACCAGCGGGTGGTAGCCGTGTGCTGTGCACGTGCACGGCAGACATTATTGTGTTCAGTCCGCGGATCCGTGTTCGGATGTGCATGCGCGAGGAATACTTCCTTCTTTGGAACTGCTTCTTGCATGAGCTGTTTCGGATATTTCGTCTCATGGCCTGGCTTATTTCGTTTCGGCGCTGCTGAGACCTCCTTTCGCGGAATATTACTCAATGACAGCCACAGGTGAGTTGACCAGTTGCCTTTGATTCATTTGCTTGTGTTGACTCTTTCATTCAGGAAAAGTGTGTTGATTTTGGGGCGGAATGCAATAAATAATGGAAAAGTTGACAGGATCTCTTTTCTAAATTTTGCTTTTCTGCTGCCGAGCTGCGAGGCCTCCTTTTACGGAATACTCGATGACAGGTGATCTCTAAGTTGACCGGTTTCCTTCGATTCATTTGCTTATGTTCACCTTTCATTTTCGGAAACGTGTGCTGATTTTATTCGGATTTAGATCCATTTTATCTCTTTGCCCTTGTCTACAGTGTGCGAAGAACGCGAGTTCAACTTCTTGACGGTAAGGCTTATGTTAGATGTGTTGTCGAAATACTCATATTCATTGTACATTGGTACGTTACAAGTAAGGCACTGGTCAGTGGCATACTATCGTTGGCAGTTCCCAATCTGGAGGGAAAGGTTCAAGTACCAATTGACCGAGCTTGCAAAATAAATTCGCATATCAGGGGAATCTCTATTGTGGAGAGGTTCAGTAACTTGTTTGTTTCATACGAAACAAGCCAATGGGTGCAGTCGCGTCTCGTGAAAAACTCGTACATGTATGATTGGATTTGTTTACTCAAGTCTGGGCTGTTTGATTTGTGAGTACCGCCGAGATTGCACTGCCTCAAATAAAGTTTCGTGCCGCCAAAGCAAGAATTACGACCTGCAATCTGTTTGTAGTACCTGTAAAAATGTGGAGTACATGTATCGTACTTTCTCTGTTGCTGTTTCAGTTGCCGTCATGTTGCTAAAGAAAGGTACAGTAGAGAGGTTCTGCAAAACGAAAATTCGAACGAAGTTTCGCGACAGTCCTTGCGAAAGTGTGTGCGAATTTTTGCACGAACTTTGCGTTCTGCACATTTTCGTAGTTTGCGCGGGCCAATTGCACTTACGCCATAACCCGATCTCACGAAATTTCCTACGACAGTTCATTTCGCGTTCCCTGCAAGTTTCGCGTCCAAAGGTGCGAAGTTTCGCACTTCATGATGTAGAACGAAAGTTTGTACGCATTTTCGTTTTGCAGAATCTCTCTTGTGACTCAATTGTTTCATACGAGACGAGTCAATGAGTCGGTGTGGCTTAGAATCTTTCGCTGTAGAAGAAATCTATTCGTATGTCTATTGGAGATATAATTGTATTCTCTGGTTATAAAATAGGTTAAGCTCACAGAATAAATACCATCGGTCCCTTGGTGTTCGTCCTAAAGAGGTTCGACTGGATATCATTCATACTCACCAAAAGATGTGTAAGATTTTATTATTGCGGAGTGCCTTGTTTATCTCTCAGTACCTCCAACCATAGCCTTGCCCCTTTTCTCCTCAGGATCAGTGTAGTTGTTGAAACGAGGTTTTGGACTCGGCAATGTATTCGTTTACATTTTAATACATGTTTATTGTTCCTGCTGTGTTGTTTTAGACAATCGTGGACTAACAGTTTGAAGTCATTGAACTACTTCCAAAAGTTGTTTCGACATCAACAGGATTACGATTTCAGTTTCAATATGATGCTGGATGACCTTATCACGATAACCCATGACTATAAACCATTATAAACACAGAATCAACAAAAACATCTGCGACACGCACCTGCCGCATGGCTACATTTCTCAAATAAATCTGATTGAGGGTGGAGTAATCTGAAATATCTGAAAGGCAAGACAATTTTATTACAGAGTCATGAAATTCTGCAACAGCAACATGCACAGAATGACCTCCGTATAAAAAAGTATCACCACCACTGCTCACATGTTTCCCCGCAGAAGAACATGCATTATGCTAGTGCCATTTTCTGCAAGAAAAGGCTTGCACATCAATGCGTATAATATGGTATTGATATGATGTGAAGGCCATCATTTACATATTGATATAGGGCATTCCATTGATTGGTGACAGAAAAAACAAAAGAAATTATAGCAATAAAAACTGCTTAATGGCAGTTTTCTAAAAAAAGTTATTGTGTTCTAGTCCATGGACCCCGTCTAAAAAGTAAGAAATTAACGAAATGTGATAGCTGAAAATTAAAATTTCACACAAAACCTCACAATAATCACACACAGAATGAAAAGCTACATGCAGAAGACCTTTTCCCCTCGCGATCCTCTTTCCTATGCATGCATGTTGCCAATTGTTGGTGCAGTACAAGTTTAGTGTTGAAAGCAGGGAGTAGTATTGTACTACTCCCTGGTTGAAAGCAGCATTTCAAGTGTTGTGATTATTGTGAGGTTTTGTGTGAAATTTTAATTTTCAGCTATCACATTTCGTTAATTTCTTACTTTTTAGACGGGGTCCATGGACTAGAACACAATAACTTTTTTTAGAAAACTGCCATTAAGCAGTTTTTATTGCTATAATATTGTATTGTATTGTGTGTGTGTATGTGCGTGAATGCGTGCGTGCGCGTGTGTGTTATATCTGGGCTGAAACTGGAACGAGAGAGCTTGGAAGCTCAGGGCCCTACGCTATGCTTTTTTGCCTTGATGACCTAGACAAAAAAAAGCATAGAGATGTTATAAATTCTTTAAAAAATCCTTTTTTTAAGACATAACCTGGGATTCGAACCCGCACTATCGCGCCCTGCATGCATCCCCCGATACACTTCGCATACATACTAATTCTTCCAAGTTGTTTCACATTGTGATCTTGCATTTGAAAGCCCTATTTGAATATGCATTGTGGCCAACCGTCTTTGATGGCACGGTACGGTAGGGGATAGGTACGGGACAGGTACGATCGAGGGTAATACGACACCGTCTCCCGTACCGTACCGTACCATCAAACACAGCTGGCCACATACAGGTAACAGCTGCCCGCAATATTCAAAAAGGGCTTTCAAACGCAAGATAATAACGTGAAGCAATTTGGAAGAATGGGTATGAATGCGAAGTGTATGGGGGAATGCATGTAGGGCGATAGTGCGGGTTCGAATCCCAGGATATGCCTGAAAAAAAAAATAGGAGAATTGAAAAATTTATAACATCCTATGCTTTTTTGCCGTCAGATACGGATAGCGCCAGGCGTGACACAAAAAAACAAACAAACAGACACACAAATACCAAAATAATTAAAGCTGTGTGGACACTGGCTAGCGCCAGACGTTACTGAAGTAACGTCTTCTGCATAGCTACGGGAATAATTATAATCTTTCCAACCTTCTTGTGATGTACATGCATAACAGAATGTCACTAGAAGACAATGGTATATGTAGTGGTAGTGCTGGTGGCATACTGTGCATTGCTGAAGACGTAGCCCCTGTCACAAGACCTCGTCCTGAGAACATTTGACAGGGCGACTTTCGGTCCTAATTTCTTTTTCGAGACTTCTTTTTAATGATTTCTCCTTGAAAGAAGCTGTACCAAGTTCACAATACCAGTTTTTCATGAAGACCAACAGATTAGCCCTGAAAGTTGTGGCATTCCAATAATAGTCCCAGGAAGTGATAGAATAGTTCGTCTGTCACGCTCCTGAACTACCCCTAAAATCAAGAGTACATTAACCCCAGCGTGCGCAACTGGGCTGGGGTTGTGGGGCGGCGTATTCCGTGATGTACGTCATTGTTTGGGTCAGACTTGCGTCATTCCATCGACGCTGTGTACCACGTCCACACTTCCCCTACTCATGATGTCATTATTCCAGTCCAGGGACCTGGGCCAAGGGTTGTTATAACGAAGTAGATGTACTAACGAATTACGTTGTAACCGCCGGTAGGGGTCAAACGGGTGTACCATGCAACCCCCCCTTTTTTTTCGATGCCAGGTTGCAACGCTAACGCCGAGACCCCTGGTCGGTCGAGTTGCTCCCTGTACATCGGCACGTCGTCCCTACATCCCCTGTGTCTTGTCTTGTGTTTGTCTCCACATGTCTCTTTGTAGGGCTGTGTTCCCAATAAAAAAAAATAAAAAAAAACCTTTAACTAAGGAACGGGTAATTTTCTCAACGGGCGGGTTAACGGGTGCCCTTTAGCAGCCACATTAATTTTTTGCGCTTTTCTCACATAAAATCATGATTTAAATTAGTATATTATCAGGTTGTATTTTGATGCCACATTATGATTCACAATTGATTTGCGTTCCATAATAACTTTATGGCAATGAAGTTCCAAATGAATGGCAGGCAGTTACAATCGTACATGGTCCTAGTGCTACATGTACAGTCACGTATTTTGAGTTTTTGATACATGAACGCAAATCAACCGTTGCAGATTGGTGCGATTCAAGCCATGCGAGGACAGAATAGTTAAGCAAACGTTCCGTGATCGCGCGCAATCCTATTTGCTATGTTTGCAGAGAACTGACATTCTTCGCATTCAGAAGATGTTCGCACCCCATAGCTAGCTGGAGTGCCTGACACAGCTGATGTGCTGCTGGCCAGCTAGCTGCCAGTGCCAGCTCGTTGAACTCGTGAAACGAATCTTCACAAATCCGTAATCTTGCATGCAATATTTCGAACTACTTTTCAACTAAGGCTGCGTTTACACGACAACACACGACCAGTTTTCCGTTTTCAGCCCCGCATTTCTTTTTTCGTTTCCGTACGTTTACACGATCAAAGCCGATCCGAGGTGGTCTCTGTTTGTATCGTTTTCAAGTGTCTTCACGAGAGCATAGGATCCGCCAAAGTTCGCCATGTGCCAAGTGTTGCCGTGGAAGCACCGATCGAACTCAAGTAATGGTTGAAAACAGGCACACGACAACACACGTCACATGACGAATATTGTAAAAACATTTTTTTGGATTGTTGGATCCGTGTAAACGGCCGAAAACGAAACAAACGTGACGGAAAACGAGGCCAGCACACCGTTTCGACTGTTTACACACCAAATTTATCCGGCAGAACATTTCCGTTTTCAAATTCTTCCACCTTGGCCAGCGTTTTGGTTTTCTTCCGTTTTGGTGTACAACTTTACGTTTTGCTCCGCGTACCGTGTAAATGAACCATGGATCCGAAAGGATTTCGTTGCGTTTTCGCCCCCAGCGTTGTCGTGTAAACACAGCCTAAGCTCATCGATTGAAGGAACAAACTACAACCATGAGTATCATAGCTACCACCTACGGACATCACCGTGTGTGACACTCCGACTGGTCACTCAGCCTGGTGACACCAGTTCATCTTCAAGCACTGTGGCAGGTTCGATGTCGGAGAACCATCGTAACTTTATAGTAACTCAGCTGCCACCTCGAACGAGGTGGCAGCTTTTTTTATTTTTTTATTTATTTATTTTATTTATTTTTTTATTTTACAAACGGGTACCCTTTTGCAAACGGTACTTGAGATTAAGCTGGTACACCCGTTTGACCCCTAGTAACCGGATCTGTCAACAGTTGTATAGACCACGTTTCGCCAGGGGTTTTCAGATTGCTATTTACTAACGGGGTGTATGCACTAACCGGACACGTTATAATGAGGGAAGACCTGTATGTAGAGTGTGATTATATTACGACTCCACTGGTTCACATAATCGCAATACGCTGGGAGTGGTTGCAAGAGGCCCACCGTCGATGGCTCCTGGTGCTTCCCGGTGATATGTGAACCAACCCTTACAAATTACCCTAGCCGTCCACAGACCGTTACGTCCCGTACCCTCAGCGTTGCGTAGAATGTGAACTAGGCTTTACCCATAACGTGTGGATTATGACGATATGTACCAAACTCTTCCTGTGGTTGCAGATGAGAGGCTTTGTGACTCTCTGCGTTGTGGCAGCGCTGAGCGTTTTGTCTCAATCATTCGTGCCACCTGTTCAAGCGGATAGTTCAAGTGAGTCATGAACTTTTTGGTACATTTTGCATAGCATTCCTATGCTGATTCCATTCCCTGCAGTTATCTAGCTACGTCCAGTTGCCATTACACACACCAGATATTTATTATCAGCTACAGCAACAGCACTGCTACAGCAACAGCACTGTTACAGCAACAACATCAACAACAACTATTCCTCACTATTTCTCCTCTCTCACACAATTATCTCTCATTGGCCACTGGCTACCATGAGAATAAAGAGAAATAAGTTGATATAATGGAAAGCAATCGGACAACCTCCAAGAGTTGTCAAACCTAGTGACTAGGCCCTTGGGCAAGCTTATTATCGAGTCATGATCTTGAGACTTTTTCTATTCAATCGTCATAGCGATACAGATTAAAATTACTTGAATCCATTTTACTCATAGCAGGAGGCAACGCGGTGTCATCGACATTATCGAAGAGCCACTTTAGATGGTGCAGGTTATCAAAGTAGCTGATTCTATCACCCGTCGCAGAATTCAATTCGACTTTTTGTGCCTTTTGAAAGTTTTATCGGCCTGCCGAGGTGGGGCCAATGTCTGGAAGTATATTATTCCCATAGCTATGCAAAAGACATTACTTCAGTAACGTCTGGCGCAAGCCAGCGTCCACACAGCTTTAATTCCGTGTTTGTTTGTTTGTTTGTGCCATCGGCATGCCTGGCGCTATCCCGTACCTGTCCCGTACCGTACCATCAAGGACAGCTGGCCACAAACAGCTATCCACAATATTCAAATAGGGCTTTCAAATGCAAGATCATAACGTGAAGCAACTTGGAAGAATGAGTATGTATGCAGTCATGTATTGAGTCCTGGCGCTAGCAGACATTTTTCCTCTTCTGACATCACCCTTTTCAAATCCCGCAACTACTGGAAAGTTGTATGAAAACAGGCATTGGTCCGTTGTCATAGTTTCCTGAACTAATCTGGCACTCACTCACTCACCCTCCCTCACTCAACCGCCCCCCTCCCCCCCCCCCCCATCTCTTCCTCTCTCTCTCTCTCTCTCTCTCTCTCTCTCTCTCTCTCTCTCTCTCTCTCTCTCTCTCTCTCT